CAGGGAATAGTTGAGCCCAGTCTTGACAGTGGCATCTTCTAGAAAATGACTAATACCTGTAGGGCAGTACCTGTGCTGGGGAAACACACCAGTATCTATCCTGGCTCCATGTGAGTGGGTTCCAGTGTGTGCTTGATGCTTTCATACATGTGCATGCTTTCTTGACGGGTTTGGCTTCTTTTGCAAGAGTTCCTTGCCTAGACTGAAGGTGGACCAAGTGCAAGATCAGCAGCTGGAAAAGTGACCAACCTGGAGAATACACACTGGGCTCTTTACTCTTCTGTGTTGCACATACTGGACAAACTGAAATGCTCCCCTGTTTCCAAGAACCCAATGTGGAATCTGCATGTTTAGTGCAATACAGTATCTTTATTCTTTGTCTTTAATATCCTCATATCATGTGGAAGTGTCTCCTAGAACACTGTGCTTCTGTCTCTGTGCAGGCAAGGCTGCATTCTCATTTGGTTTGAGCATGAGGGAATTGCCCTGTAAGTTTTGAAGCTAATGCTCACTTGTGTCCAGCATCCAGTTGCTCCTATAGGAAAAACTCTTGACCTCTAATAAAACCTGACAGTCTGTGGTGAAGACTCTATCCTGATCTGATGTTATGTCATACTATGCCTCATTGAACACTGAGCCAGGCTGATTACCTAAAAACAGTGCCCATAGTAATTCAATTCCAGAATTGCCTAAACGCTGATACCTGCTTTCTTTTATATTTGGGTATTTTGTGGCCCTATGAGAGAGACTGGCTAGTGGCATTAGGGACTGGAAAAAGGCAGGGAAGTATGTTGATCAGAGTAGAAGAAACTTCCAGATCCAGTATTGAAGGCATCAAAGCTCGTTGTTAATTTGACAGCTTCAGAGATGCTGATTCCGGCCTGACAGCTCTTCATGAGTGCAGTGTAGATGGCAGCTTTGGTATTAGCCAGCCTCATTATGTCTCATTTTCTGGCCATGCTACCAAAGCTGCAATTCCTCCTTAGAGGCAGAGAGGAAGCTAAGCCCTGCAGATGCACGAGATAACGTATTGCCATGATTTTGCACTGAAATTAAGGAATGTATCAAACTTTGCTACGTGGTCCTTCCCCAGTAGTCATCTCACGTCAATGGGATGCTGTTGATGATGACTGTATGAGGCTACTCCCCTCTGGTTCTTTGGCTCCACATGTTTAATAAGGTTTATGGAACATACCTCAATTTGGTGGGGCATGAAATCAAAGCCATTTATGGGATCTTAGTCATTGTAGCTTCCTAAACTTGACCAGACACGCTGCTAAGGGTTAGCAGCTTGTACCCAAAGTGGTGTTCCCAGGGAAAGAGGGTGCTTCACGTTCTTTCAGCCCCAAAGGTGAAGGTACTGTAGTCCTTAGTGCACACTTACAGCAGCTGGAGTATTTTAGTCACTCCACTCTGCTTTCTTTTCCTTTGGCAGTGCTGTTGTATTGTGATGACATGGCGAGTCCCAGTGGTTATTATTCCCTTTCATTTTGTGTATGATCTTGTGAATTTATTTGTTCCTTTCTTTCCTCTGCTAGTCCTAGTGACAGCAGCACACATTAACTTATATTTCAGAGAAAATGATGTAAACCTTATTGTGTCTTTGTCCAGAACTATATTGATGAATAAATATCTGGTTTAATTGCACATTCAGTGGATTCAATAAAAAGCACAACAACTTGTGATGATCTAGGAGACATCTGTGTCTTTGGTGCTCGTTGAACAGAGGTGTATATATGGAATGCTCATGTATGGCTTGAAGACAGCAAAACTATTCTCAGGCTGCTGATAGCCAGAGGGATGCTCAGTTTGTACCTAAGCATGGGTGGATTGAATAGATATTCCCAGCCTGGACAGCTTGACCACAGGTAGTCTTAAAGGAATTGGCTGAGAAGACCTGTGGTCCAACCCATCCTAGAGTTTTCTGGGCCTTGCAGTGATGAAGAAGCCCCAGAGATTCATGCATGTGTGAGCAGGGGTATCACACTTGAAGAAGGCCGTGTTGAAAAAACAGGGCAAAATGCTGGGTGTGGCATTCCACCTATTCCAGCCTATTCTGAGATCTCCATCCAAAGTGTTTCCTGCAGGTGGCAGAAGAGAATGTCTCCTGGCAGCATTTTTCCACCACATTTTCTCTACTACCTGGGCAAGAGTGGTTTTATGGTGAGAACTGTATTGCTTTAAACAGTAATGGCCAATTTCTTCCCCTTCTTTTCCCTGTTACTGCCTTTTCCTGAACTTTCCAGAAATGTAACTGTCTCTGAGTTAGCTTTGTTAACCAAAGGCAAATGTATTTCAAAGTGTTGGGATGGGATTTGGGGCGTAGTGTGGTGGAGAATAGCTTGGGATGGTGGACAGACATACAGATAGCTTGCAATCACAGTGCTGTTAAGCTCAAAACACTCCATGAGGCTGCACTTTTTGGTTGTCTGGTTTGTTGGTGACACGTTGGTGGTGTTTGTGTAGCTTTGAAGGCATTGCTGCTGCCACCCAGCAGGAGATGGCCCAGGTAGAAGCATGTGGCTGCCCCATCCCTGGCAGTGTTCAAGGCCAGGTTGGACACAGGGGCTTGGAGCAAGCTGCTCTAGTGGAAGGTGTCCCTGCCTGTGGCAGGGGGTTGGAACTGAATGGGCTTTAAGCTCCCTTCCAACACAAACCAGTCTGTTTCCAATGCTGTATGTGATGTGACACAGTCAAACAGAGCTGGGGCATCATTCACACACAAAGCAGCACCATGTTTCAGGCAGCACTCTGCCAGAAGGCAGATGTAATTGTGTATAAATTTGGGATCGGTGCAGGAAAAGAGAACAATTTTGTTATTTTTCTGTCCTTTGGATAGGTATATTTGAGGCCAGATCTGTGTAAAATTGTGTGCACTTAATGGCATCGTTAATGTATGGGAGGTGTTGCAGAAACCCCCACAGACTTATTCATGAACAGGAGAAAACTTGGATCTTCAATGGTCCAAACCATCAAAAGGTGATTCAGTGACAGCTTGAAAGAGCATTGATGGGGGTGAGTATGGAGTCTGAAGTCTGTTTTAATCCAGTAATCTCATGTTTTAGGCACACTTAGAGGAGATTTTACAGCTGAACACTATTTGCTATATTTTACCATCATTGGCTTGCATTCATATGGCTGTGCATAAGAGGCTAGATGAAGAACCACCGTTCCCATAGCTGTTCTTCAGCAGGACTTAAAGGACCTTCAGAGGCAAACCACACAAGCTGGCAAGTGCATGTTTTTGGTTTTTTACCTTCTCTTTAATGACGTAGCACAAAAAAAAAAAAGCAAGTTGAAATAGATTTTTCTCCAAATATATATATTTATATAATATATAATCTTAGTTAACTCAAGTATATACATTGTATAATAAATAATGCTTATAAAAAGAGACATTTTCTGAATATAAAATAAAAAAAATCGACCTCTACAACTTTATACAAAACTTTGGATACAGCAAATTGATGGAAAAAAGGTCTTCCATTCAGTGCTAGAATACCTGGCTACAGTAAAATCATTACAAGGCAATAAATGTTCTATTTAATATTAAATACCTTTTCTTGATTAAAAAAAAACCAAACAACCAAAGAAGGGATTTTCTTTAAAGTCAGGTACTTGGAGTCTTTCCAGACACAGGGTTCCATATTGGAAGAGGGCTTATTTCTGAACTGGGAGGTGCCTTAGAGCTCTCCTGGGATCTGTAAGTTTAGAAAGCTGATGCTTTTCCTGCTGGGTGGATCCAGGAGCTCCTCATCATGCTCTACAGAGGGTGGACTGAGAATTGTGCTCTCGTTCTCTCCAGCCACAGGTTTGAGTGCCAAGGCCATGGAGGGTTCTTGGCACTCCAGGTGAGAGGGGTCTTCCACCCGTTTTATTGCTCTGTGCAGTACTGCATACTGCTGTTCCCCATGGATGAAGAAGAGAGTGGAGTAGAAAACACAGCTTTCATGGTTGGGACATATCTCTGTGTTAAATCACTGATGCTTGAGAAATGGCGTTGGAACACGGTTATTGGTCCTCATTGGCTGCAGAGGAGCCCACCAGGACACAGATAATATGTATTTTTTTAATTTCTAGGGTCAATATACCATGAAAACAAGCCCAAAATGAAGGGGCGTGTGGTCAAGAAGGGGGGATAGGGCCTGGGGAGCAGGTGGAGGGACAAATGCTGATTCCTCTGCACTGAGATGGGTCATGGGATGTGTGTGGCCACTCTTGGGGCCCAAATCCCTGCTAGTGGTAACGTAACATCTGCGCTTGGTGAGGACCCCTCATGATTTGCTGATAACTCCCAAACCGCTATGGGAAGGAAAGGTCCTGCCTGGGGTTGTGCTGTTGAGTAAATGTCGACTTTTCCATCTGCCTTTACCTCTCTTTGCTGGATGAAATGGTTTGAACCGGTTTGCCTGGTGGGGGAAGGCTGAGGAAAAGGCTTGGACAGCACTTTCTTGCCATAGCTTCTGTCTCCCCATCATTACTGATGTTCAGAGCTGGCGTAGCAGCTCACCCTGTGCCTGGGGAGATGCTCTGAGCTTGCTCTGGGGTATAAAGTCATATTAGGGAATGCTTAGTAAAGGGGTGTGGCATCTGGGTGGATCTGCCTGGCTGCTTCACAGCCTCCCTTGGGCAGCTGCATGGCAAGGAGGCTGTTGGAGTAGTGATGTGCACTCTGCTCTTACCCTGCCCACGTGCCAGAGGATCAGCTCTGGGCTCTGCTTTCCTGCTGTCCTCCTCGGGGGGATTATAGGACATGATCTGGGGCTGTGGGAATTAGTAAGGGCAAAGGCGAGGTGAAAGGAGAGGCTGGCTGTAAGGCTCAGACAGGTTTCTCTGACATCATCTCCTTGGAGCAGGAAGGAAGGAGCCTGCCTGCTGCGGGGAATTGGCTCCTTTCCTCCTCCTTACCGCATCTGCTGAGACCAGGATGGCCATGCCAGCGGGCAGGGGAGCCTTGAGTTGTTCAACTCTCCCTGTGTGAAACTCATTTCCACCTGAACTCCTTGGATTAGCATCTATGTGGGCCTGACCTCCGGAGGAGGACAGAGCTGGAAGCTCTGCATGCTGTGTCAGCAGCACGCTGGCTAGTGTGGCTGTGCCTCACTTCAGCTTTCGCTGTCCCTGCTTCTCCCCGGTTAGTCCATCATGCCAAACAGCACACGAGAAGGCAGCGGATCAGTGACGGAGCTCATCTGCGGCACCAGGTCTTACTTTGGGCTGCCTTGTGTGGGTGAGATGCTGAGAGCCCCCTCTGCAGCGCTGGTGCTGGCTGTGTGAGGGTGCCTGCCCCGGCCCAGGGCATTAGGGTTTGTTAATGCCATCCTCTGAAGCATGAGGCCAGCACATGGGGGCTGCTCACAGGGTTGACGGACCCCATGGCCCTGCTCTGGAGCAACCTCCCATCAGCTGGAGACCTACCTATGTTTACTTGCAGGTGTGGACATCATAGACACGTATGCACTCCTGGCAGCTCACGTAGCAGCACCAGTGGAAGATGCAGTGACACTTCTCCTTCCGTTTCTCAGTTCTGGTGTTGTGGCCGCGACCGCAGCACAGCAGGTCGCAGCCGTCGATGCCGTGGGAGGTGACGTTGCATGTTCTGTCCCTTGTCCCAAAGGAGCCCGTCTCGGGGTTGGGCTCACAGAAATTGGGGGAGTTCTCATAGTAGACCAGATCCCGCTCTGTCGGTGGCTTGAAAAGAGCGTACTTGGCCCTCAGAGTTTCGACCCAGCCCCGAGACTCGCGGTGCTTTTCCACCACCATCTCGGAGGCGCTGTCGTATTTGTCCTTCAGGTAGTCCCCGATAGCCCGGAAATCAGGCTGGGCCCACCAGCACGTCTTCACCTCGCAGCTTCCCGAGAGACCGTGGCACTTGCACTTGAGGTGCATGTGGTCCAGGATGGTCTGTCCAGGGGAGACACAACAAGGTGGTCAGCAGCAGGTCGGGATGCCCAGGGTGTGATCACCTGCCTTTGCTACCAGGGTTTAAACGCCTGATCTGAGCTTGGTCTGGAAAGCATGGGCTGATTGTGAATGTGGGGAGCTCGGGGGGGGGGTGGCAGAAACATCCCACTGGAGAAGCACAGCTGATTCGGGCAGCTGCTCTGATCCTCTGTCCAACCCAGTCTAATCCCAAGGTCCAGTTGTAGCATCCCAGCCTGGTTTGGGTTGGAAGGGAGCTTGAAGCTCATCCAGCTCCAACCCCTGCCATGGGCAGGGACCCCTTCCACTGGAGCAGCTTGCTCCAAGCCTCTGTGTCCAACCTGGCCTTGAACACTGCCAGGGATGGGGCAGCCACAGCTTCTCTGGGCACCCTGTGCCAGCACCTCAGCACCCTCATTTTAACTCTTAACCCATGGCTGCCTGTTTGGGGAGAGTGGAAATGCTGTGCCCTGGAAAATAACCCTGGAGTTATGGGACCCTGTGGTCCCATTACACCAAGGGGAGTCACACATGGGGCGTGCTGCGAGCTCTGGACCCGTTGAGCACTCACCGTCCTGCCGGCCTCGTTGTTGTGCCTGTTCATGGCCGAGCGTGCGTCCGGCCGGTTCTCTCTGGCGTCAGCGAATTCCCGGGACACCAGCACGCCGAAGTCGGCATCCTCGCTGCATCCCCCCCATTTCCAGCCGTCTCCTGGAGGTCCTTTGTGATGGGAGTCACAGCCGCAGATGGTGGACGTGCCCTCAGCGCAGGAGCGGGTCACGGCGAAGGCCACCCCTGCCGATGCGATGGCGTGGACAAAGGCAGACTCGCGCGTAGCTGGGAATGAACAGAGCCCATGGGATTACCGGTCAGTGTCACACTTGTGTTTTCCTTCCTAACCTCCTTCAGCATCACAGAACCCCAGGATCCCAGCCTGGTTTGTGTTGGAAGGGACCTTAAAGCTCATTCAGCTCCAGCCCCTGCCACGGGCAGGGACCCATTCCACTGGAGCAGCTTGCTCCAAGCCCCTGTGTCCAACCTGGCCTTGAACACTGCCAGGGATGGGGCACCCTGTGCCAGGGCCTTACCCAAATCTCATCTAGATTTCTTTAAAAAGTGAAAATCTATTTTATTACTCTTTAAAAGACGTGGGTCAGGTGCTGCTGGTGACACCTGAAGCGCACAGGCAGCAGCAGGTAGAAGTGTGACTCCGGGTCTGCTGCAGTGACCTGGCTCTTCAGCTACAGAGCTCTGCTTGGGTGTTCTTAAAGCCTCTTGGGGTGTTTTACAGTGTTGTACTATTTCTCCTCAGTTGGAAATCAACCAGAGCTCGACCGTTGACTTCACGAAGGCTGCAGTAGATAGAGGCACTCCCAAGCACAGCCAAAGTAGTGTCTCAGTCTCAGCTTTCTCCTTGAGGACATCTTTTGGTTGACATGTCTCATGTTTGGCACAGGCTTCTTAAGTGCAGCACCCTTGTGGATGACACTAGAGTGCTTTGACCCTGTGTGCCACCTTATGAAGATGGAGACCTGAGGTCTCTACATCCAGGGTAGATGTCAGAGTCAATCCAAGCCCATCCCCGATGTGCAGGAGAGCAGGAGGGTGCTGAAGGCAGGTGTCTGGGGACCATTGGTGGTGGATGGTGCCCCTGGGTGCTCTGCAGATGTTTCCAGCTGCCTCATGGGTGTAGCTTGACCAAATGATCAAGACAGCCCTCAGCGGATGCGGGAGGAAGTCAGGGCTTTCTGCTGGCTCAGACCAGCGATGACCTTGGAGCCCATCTCCTGCTTCCAGAGCAGGAGCCAGGAACTGTCCCTCAGCCACCCCATGCATCCCTCAGCTGCTCCTGCCTCGTGCCCTGGGGAGGTCTTTGCTGCACCAGGTCTTGCTCTGGGCTGCAGAGGTGGGGTAGAGCTCCTGACAGGCAGGCAGCTCAGACTTGGCTGATTTCAGCCTGTGCAGGTGGTCCGAAGGGGCAGCTCGTGGCTATGTGCCAGCTGTGGAATGCACATCTCTGCAGCAGCGTGGAGAGCTCGGATCCAGGTGCCAAACGTGATCCTAAACCAGGGCTGCTCAATCCCGTAAGACCATGTTATGGGTTTCACTTTAATTCACTCTTCCCTTCCTTGCCCTTCCCACCTCTGATAACACCAGCAGAGATCCAGCCTCTACCTCCTGCAGTTTTCCTTACATACCTTTCACCAGCTGCGTATACTGGGACCACTGGGTCCTATGGGTTGAAGATCCCTGCTTCAACTAGAGTGGTTCAGCCTGACAAAGGCTATTTGGGTGGCCTGTGATCTACAGCAGATCAGATTAGAGGAGCTAGCGAGCCCTTCTGGCCTCAGACCAGGACAGCTCGGGGGCAGAGGGGGAGAACACGAGCCGCCCTCCCTGCTCATGTGCCTTTGCTTCCCACCCCGGGGAGGGAGATGAGAAAAGGATGGGAATGGGATGGAGAGGCACCGTGTGCCTGTGCATCCGCATGGATGCCGGGATGGGGGCCGAGCTGGGGCCGCTGCTGCCGTGGCCAGGCAGCGGTGGGATGCAACCCACCCCCTGTGGCCCACGCGTGGGGCGGGGCGGGGAGGACGGAGCTGCAAACACGAGCGCTTTGCCTTGAAATCCAGCCCCGGGTCCGGGCGAGGAGCTGGGAGAGTTTCCCAGAGATGAAATGCGGGAAGAGCGTTCCCAGAACCAGGGGAGGGGTTGGCCAGAGAGGATTAGAGCCGCCTTGACAGTGCACGGCTGCGACTGTCTCCCAGCCGGGCCCGTTACCTGCTGGGACACTCAATTTGCCATTGTTCCCGCGGTGTCACACTGTATTACCAGCATAATGCAGAATGTTTCCGCCGGGCCAGCGTACCCACGGCACAGAGCGCTGGCATTCCCCAGGAGCACCTCGTAGCAACGGGGCAATGTTCCCCCTGTCCTGCCGTCACCCTCCAATCCCGCCGGCCCGGCTGGGAAATCCCTATTGATGGCGCTCCCCAGCCCCCCGCCACCGGATCAGAATGGCTAAAGGGCGTGTGAATGCTGCAGTGATTTGAAACGACTGCAGCGCGGGGATGGTATCGCTCGCCCGGCCTCACAGTAGGGGAGGAAGCTTAGCTCTTTCTCATCGCTATAAGCTTATTTTTCTCTCTCCCTCTTCTCCTTTTCCCTCCCCCCTTTCCCTTTAAGCTGCTGAGTTTATATCAAGACGGCCCCTGATCCCACACACCCCTTGTTTAGATGCAAATGACTGCAAGTGTCATGGCTGAGAAAAGCCATGGGTTATCTCAGCGCGGGGCTGGCTTTTCACAGCTCGTGGCAGGGGCTTAGATGAGCACACAAGGACCCCCAAAGGCAGCCCAGGCCCAGCTGCCTTCTCTGCACCTGGCTCCTTTGCACCGCGAGGCGCTGCCCTGGCCGGTGCCAATGGCAAGAGGATTGAGCCCGACCATGGCTGGGGAGGAGAGGACCCTTCTGGAGCACCAGTGGCATCTTCCTGGACAAGGAGAGCACACAAAGGGCAGCTGTGGTGCGAGGAGGCAGGGGAAGAGCCATTCCCCCGTTGCAGGGGGTGATGCAGGAGTTTGCTCCTGCCAAGCTCCCTCCTGCAGACCCAGTCCTGCCTGCGGCTCAGAGACCTCTCCTCCGTCCCAGGAGCTGCTCTCCAGATGCCTCTGGGGCCTTCCTGCCTCCTGCCCTCACAACCAGCCCATCCCAGGCACGGGGCTTTAACCAACATCATGTCCTTTATCACCTCCTTGCTGCTCGCCCTCCCAGAGCAGCAGGAAGTCACCCGGCTTTGGGGCAGGGCTTGGCTGGAGGAGACCTTGTCCTTTAATAAGAGCTGACCTTATTTTAAGTAGAAAAGGGAGGGAGAAGAGAGGGGAGGGAAAAGCAGGTTTCTCTTCCCTCCTTGTCCCAGACTGCACACCTGCAGTATAAATCATCTCGGGGAATTTGCTTGTAAAAACACGATCTTACCCCGCGTCCTGGGGTTGGGTTGGGTTTTGGTGGTTGGGTTTTTTTAATCAGAGCCCAGGTTAGAAAAAACAACGTGCAGAAAAAAAAAAAGAAGAAGAAGAAGAAAAACTTGCAGGGAAATGATCGGCGTGGCCCTGGGGAACCAACCGGCTGCGAAGGGGGAATGGTGAAGCTGAGGAGCGAAGCGCGATGGAGATGGGGTGGGACTGTGGGTTGATCTGGTGACTGGAGCCTGCTACACTCCCACACTGACACAGCACTCGAAGCCTGGACGATGAGCCCAGAAGGAGCAACCAAGAATGGCTTGAACATGTGGGCTGCAGAGGGTCCATGCAGCCCAAGCACTGCAAGCTTTCCCCACACTGCCTTGCTCCTCAGACTAAGCTCTCCGTGAATGGACCCAACCCTGATTAACATTTTTGCAGCTCCTTTAAACTGAAATTATCCTCAATTTCTTTTTTAGGCTGTATTAGAAGTGATTTTCTATGCTATTGTAATGAAAAAGGCACCTTTGAAGTTTTTTCTGTAATAGCTTCAATCTACTTAAGGGAGTAGTAGATGAGATTAACCTAAATATTGCTCTTTGATACTTAGAGGTGATTTCATCCAGGTAGTTATCATAGCTTAAATGCTGGCTATTTTGGGCTTAGTATTTAATGCCTATTGGCCTAATGCACAGCCCAAGCTGCAGTAGTGATTGTTGTCTGGTTTGAGCCTTGGTTTGTGGGGTTACACCCCTCTGGGGTCCTGGAAGTCAACAGGGAGCACAGCAATAGCAGTCACAGATGCTCAGGGCCAGATATGAAACCCAGCTGGCAACAACTGCAGGTCTCAGTTCCAGGTTATGGGCTCAGAACTCTTGGTTTCTGTTGGTGCTGCACCTAAGGAAAGTGGGACAGGAGCCTGGGAGAAGGTGATGCTGTGAAGGCAACAGATGTGTCCAGCAACACTATCCACAGTGCCGCTGGCAGTGATGAGCAGCGTTGGTTCCTGGATTCATCACTGCTAATGAGGTCTATCAGGGCAGGACAAAAGCCTTTTTATTGCCAATGTTGTCTCTTCCTTCAGCTGAGGAAGCAGTGGCTGGAAACGTGTTTGTGTAGAGCCATAGGATCCCAGCCTGGTTTGTCTGGGAAGGGACCTTAAAGCCCATCCAGCTCCAACCCCTGCCACGGGCAGGGACCCCTTCCACTGGAGCAGCTTGCTCCAAGCCCCTGTGTCCAACCTGGCCTTGAACACTGCCAGGGATGGGGCAGCCACAGCTTCTCTGGGCACCCTGTGCCAGCGCCTCAGCACCCTCACAGGGAAGAGCTTCTGCCTAAGAGCTCATCTCAGTCTCCCCTCAGGCAGGTTCAAGCCATTCCCTTGGCCTGTCCCTACGGTTCAAGAGTGGCACTACTGACATTGCAGACATCATCACTACATGGGTGAAATGAGCCCCATCCCCTCTCCTCCCACTGACTTTCAAGGCAGCAGTGAGAAGACATCAGCACAGTTAAAGATGTCACTAAGCACCCCAGCCAAGCGGGCTGGCCTTTGATATACCGTTATCCGCAGATGCTGCTGTCTGTTTTTAACCGTTCTCCTTACAGGTTGGTGAGACACCAGGATAACCACACACTGCAAGCTCAGAGCCTGGCCGTGCTCTCTCGATGCATCAGGGTTTGACTGGGGAGAGCTGCATAACGAGGGTGCTCAATAATTCTTCCCCATCTGTCAGAGGCGTTTCAGAGCTAGGGGTGATGTTTGGCTGTGTCAGCTGGGAGCGCAGGGGGGTGTTGGGGCATGTCCACGCAGGAGGTTCTGCTCGAGTCCCTGCAGCCCAAAGAATCCTTGCATATTCTTCATGAATTCAAAGTTCACTTTGCTGATTAGGGGGAGGACGGGTCAGACCTGACTTTCAAGCGCTTTCCTGCTGACAGCAATGGTGGTGGGAGATTTGCAGCACCTGAATGCTGTAATAGCTCTTTTCTAATGTGTTTCAAGTGTTTATGATGGGGTTTTTTAATGGCAGTTTTTAAGAACCTTCAAACTTCCTGCTCTTGTAAGAGCTGAAGTTCAGGCCGTGCTTTTATCAGGCCCCAAGCTATAGCGTGGCAAGCCTCGATGACAAGTGACTTGATAGGAGATACAGCAGCTACCCCAAAATACATCCTGGCAAACGAGGAGGGGATTGAACCTCAAGGCTCCTCTTAGCGAGGAATCACACTTTAACCCAGCGAGTTCCTTCCGCTGGCACAAGCTGCTGCTGTGCCAGGAAGCTGTGCCAAGGCTGACAAAGAATGGCATCAAGTGTTTATGTGTGGAATGTTGGAGCTTTGTAGGGAAGATTGTGAGACCTCACCTGGAGCATTGTGTGCAGTTCTGGTGTCTTCAACATAAAAAGGACATGGAACTGTTGGAACAAGTCCAGAGGAGGCCACGAGGATGATCAGGGGCTGGAGCAGCTCCTGTATGAAGACAGGCTGAGGAAGTTGGGGCTGTTCAGCCTGGAGAAGAGAAGCTGCATGGAGACCTCAGAGCAGCTTCCAGTGTCTGAAGGGGGCCTATAGGGATGCTGGGGAGGGACTCTTCGTTAGGGACTGGAGTGACAGGACAAGGGGTAACGGGTTAAAACTGAAACAGGGGAAGTTTAGATTGGATCTAAGGAGGAAATTCTTTCCTGTGAGGGTAGTGAGGCACTGGAATGGGTTGCCCAGGGAGGTTGTGAATGCTCCATCCCTGGCAGTGTTCAAGACCAGGTTGGACAGAGCCTTGGGTGCCATGGTTTAGTGTGAGGTGTCCCTGCCCATGGCAGGGGGGTTGGAACTGGATGACCTTAAGGTCTTTTCCAACCCGAACTATTCTGTGGTTCTGTGATTCTAAGATTCCCCAGGAGATTGGCACGCTCCAGGGACTGTTGGGGAATAGCCTCGTGTTCTGCTTTCAACCCAGGTTTCTCCAGTTTCCTCAAGGCCACAGCATAAGATTCCCATTTCCAAAGACTAATTCACTTTCATTAAATAACCATTGGGCTACAGAGGCTTGGTGCATGGCATCACCATTCCCTAGTGGAACCCCCATTGTTGGAACTGGATGATCTTCAGGTCCTTTCCAACCCAAACCAGTCTGGGATTCTAAGATACCAGTGAAGCTTCGGGAATGGCTTTAGTTACATACACGGAGCTGTGGAACCAAGGCATGTCTGAACTCAGCGTGGAGTCAACAAAATCCACGGGATGGGTTGGAGAGAAGGGGAGGTTTTTATCCACCATTTGGTTCAGTTTCATGGCAATGCTTTTTGACCTAAGGTCTTGGATATTGCTAACTGGAGATGGGACAGATTATCTGTCACCAAAGTCCTCCAGCACCCTCCTATGAGGCTGGATTTGGCTGCAGGGCAGAGGTGCAGGTCCCCATCTGTCTTGGGGACCAGCATCTCAGGTTTCCCAGGGTAATGCCCAGGTTGTGACCTCATTGGGAATCTGGACTTCATTGTGCCTTATCAATGAGATTCCAATGTGCCAGATCCACATCAGTGGGTCTAGAAAGCTGGTCTTTCAAGAGGAAGCGATGAAGGGGAGCAAGAGCAAGTGTTTGGGGACAGGAGAGGGAAAATACATTTCCTCTCCCTCTTCTTCTTCCCAGCCCTGACCATTTTGGTTGAAATCCCAACTAAGCCTTATCAGGACCTTGGTTTTCCACCATGGTTTCTCACCGGCCGCCTGGGGTAGACAATGCTTCAAAGGGCCTGCCTTGACCCCAACCCTCTTCCTTGGCTTTTTCCCTGTTGTTTGGAAGCACTGCATGCCCTGGGCAGGGAGGATGGAGCCCATGATCCTGAAACGTGTGTGCATGTTTGGTGCAAGGCCTTCCCCTGCCTGTACTTCGTCTGCTGATTGCTCCTGGGAGGGGAACGGGCCCTTCCCTTGTGACCCCTTTTGCTGTAGCATCCCAAAAGAAAACTGGGAAAAAGAAACTGGAGAACTGAAGGCTGGGATGACTCTTCCCAGAACGTGCTCCCCGTGGGACATCCTTGGTGCATCCAAAGCCAAAGGGAGATGTGACATCTCCCCCCCCCCCCACCTAAACCTATTTGCCCACAGCCCCCCGGCTCTGCTGGTTACCTTTGTCCAGGACTGGCCCGAAGATGGCCAGGCTGTCATCGATGGTGGTGCAGTTCCAGCGCCGGCCCCGGAACTGGTGCTGGCATTCCTGGATGCCCAACTTCACCCCCTCGGCCACACTGGGCATGATCTCAATGTAGTTGCGGCAGAAGCGGAGCTGCTTGGGGACGAGGCCGGGGATGGAGCCGCAGAGGATAGGCTGGGACCCCAGCGAGCTGTACTGCTGACCTAGTGCAAGGGACCTGCAGGGACAGAGGACAGCGTAGGGTTGGGAAAGCAACTGGCACCGCTCTGCTGCCCACAGCTTTACCCGCAGAAGGGGACAGACGCGTTTCCCCAGCATCAACTCGCAACGCAGGCGTTCACACTCAAGGGCAGGAGCACAAAAGCCCCGCTGGGCTGGGAGGCTCCCGTTCATCACTGGCTGTACAAGTGTGAGCAGATGGATGTGCACATAAAGGAGGGGTTTGTGTGTGTGTGTGTGAGCGCAGTGCACAACACGAGGAGCTTGAGTGCCTATGGCAAACGCAGGGGAATCTGTTTCTCTGCTTAATCCCTTAAATCCCCCAGGAGTCCTGACACTGTCAGGCCAGTGGCTCCTTTTCTTCCCATCTGATAGTGCTAGACATAGAAAAGCTGTGGATCCAGCAGTTTTGAGTTGACTCTGTGTGATTCCCCTTGGTCTGGGATGGACTAAGCTGCGGGAATAAATGCTCTTGTGCAGATCCTCTTACTGCAATTTCTGGTGGGCACATCCTTGCATCCTTGAAGAGGTTGGAATTATCTCCTCATTGCCACAGCAGGGGAGACACTGTGCCCACCCTCTCAATTTCATCCTTCCTACAGAGATGGCCAGTGAACCCATCTTCTCTTTGGGCCCCTGGTTGGGAAGACACATGGTATCCAGAGAAACTAGACCTAGTAGTATTTGAAAGTGGCAGAGTTTGGCCAGATTAGGTATATGGAAAGGAGATATATGGATAGATACGTGTCCAAGGTACATGAAAATTTTTAGGGTGAACTAAAAGAAGGTTCCTGCCAGTGAAGGCAAAAGCTGCTGGGACATTTCTTCTTTCCCCTCTGCCTACAGAACACGTAGGTTTGGAAGTACCAGACTTCCTTTGGCTCTGAGTCTTGGGCAATGTGGTCTAGTGTGAAGTGTCCTTGCCCATGGCAGGGAGTTGGAACTGGTTGATCTTAAGGTCATTTCCAACCCAAACCATTGTGTGATTCTATTACTCTTTGTGAGTGCTGGGGAGCCTCAACGCTGTCATCTTCTCCCTTGGTCTCAGCATCAACTCAGTACAGCTCCTCTTGCCAACACCTCGAGAGCCGCGGCCAGCAGCGCAACTTGAGGGCTCCAAGGACCTGGTAGAAATGAGACCCTTGAACCACACCATTTCCCCCCTGCACCTCAGGTCCCTGCTTCATCGTGTTACAGGGCAAACATCCTTCCTGCCTGGGCCCTCGAACGCCTTGGCAATGCCCCGTCTCGATCCCTGCAACTCTCATAGCGCACTGGGAGAACTCGGGATCAGCAGGAGAAAGCCAGGTCCCAGCTGAGCTCTCGTTTGCCACCCGTTGTCCTGGAGGAAAACTTCCTCTGCCCGCAGGTTTCTCTTTGTGCTCTTTTTAGGCATATTTGGCATTTTCCAGTTCTGGGCCATGTTCTGTTTTAAAGGGACGATTGTAGAGGCTGGGACCCCCCCTGGTTTGCAGCGCTGGGAGGCCAAAGGGTGATGCATTGAAACGCACATTGGGATCCAGGAGTTTTCCTGCTGGCTCCTTCTCTCCATTTAGTGCTGTATGAGCCCTTCCCAGCTCGCACCAGTTTTGCCCTTTTCCCCTTCCTAGCAGAGGCCTCCTCACAAGCTTGCGTTACAGGTAACTAAAGGCTTGTGCAAAATCAGTGCAAGCAGAGGTGTGGGGTCCACACAAGCCTTTCAGGAGAGCCAGACCCTGTTGGTTTTGTCTTGGTGCACTGGGGCTGTCTACCTCAGCCTGATGCAGTGCTCAAGGGGTCTTTACCAAGTGGCAGACGTTCACTTTAAGCTCAGAGATCGTGAATTCACCCCAGCTTTGATGCAGAGAAGTACCTGCAGTTGCTGACTCCGACCTGTGAAGGGGGGGTTATAGCTGGTGTAATATTCATATCTTTTAATTCTTACAATTTGCTGACAGCAGCCCTTTGTGAACAGGGCAAGACACAAATTCTTGGGTTTGCCTGAAGATCAAGAGAAGCAAGAGGGAAGCTGTTGCAAGTCAAAGCATGCAATACATATGCACATAGGAGCTTGAGAAATGCCAGGTCTTGACGGAATACGGAGAACAAAAGGATGGCAGAGTTCAAATAAGGAACGTCGCAGCTGAGTCGGGAACCGGGGAGCTTTAATGAATCCCAAGCCTTTGCTCATAAATCACCCACTGTTGAATCTCTACTGAATGTGTCTTGAGTTTCGAGCTTCTCTGTGGAATAGGCACTTGTGTCCCCATTGTGAGATGCCACCAATGCCATAAACTCCCCACCAGACTTTGCAATCCTAAGAAAACAGGTAGGAAATTCATTCTTTTCATAAGAACAGATGAACGTGCCAAAGCATCAAAGGCCGATCCCTTGGGCACGGGTGAGTCCCATGGCCATCAGCCTGGATGTAGGGATGTATTTCTCTGTTACTGCCCTGGAAAGTGTAGACTTTACACCCCGGTGTGATGTGGCCTCCTGAACAGAGGAAGCTGTTTTTCCTTTCCCAGCTGGTGTGTTTGAAAACCACCTCCTGGTGTGTGTGTGAATGCCGTGATCTGCCCAAAATTCAGCAGCCCACAGGGCCAGGTTCTCCCCAGTTAAGATTCTCCCTTAAGGGCTAGAAACCTTCCTAAAACCTTCCCAAAGGCCAAAGTCCATCTGGGAATCACTCCCAGACCTGTGGCTGCCTTGAACTAGGTTAAGCATCCTTCTGAGAGCTCTCCCAGAGGGACAGCTCAGGGTAGTTCAGTGCCTCTAGGTCCTGGGTGACTTATTTATTGGCCACAATTGGCCCCTCAGTGCCAGTGCTGGGGAGCAGTTGGATTGGATGAGCTTAGCTTTCCAACCCAGCTGATTCTGTGATTCATGCAACCCAGTGGTGCCTCCATCCACGAGCTGTGTCCTACCTACAGCCCTCTACCAGCAACCTCTGCTAGGAGGGCTTAATCCCTCCTCCAAGCACTGCAGGACACCAGCATCTTCCCAGAGGTGGGCAGTGCCCCAGGAGAGGATCTTGGAAAGACCAAGGATGATCAACCCGTGTTGTTCCGGAGCACATGGCACTGGCGGGTTGGGAACTTGGCACCCTGCTCCGATTGTGGAGGAATGTTGGCTGTTTCCAGAAGGAACCAAGGAGAAAGCACTTAATGAAATGATCCTTTGAGGAGTGCTCTGAGGGGTGGACACCGTGTACCCTGCCTGTAATCCCAGATGAAGGGAGAGGTGCTCTTATTGCATGTGCTTTTGAGAGATGAGACCGATGATTTCTCAGGTATAGCTGAAAAATGAATGCTACAAAGGGATGCTGAGGAGCTGCTTAGGGGCTGAGGAACGACAGGGAGGTGCTGGTGTTTTTATTTTAGCCTCCAATCCACACTGATGCTGAAGTAGCTACTGAAACACATCCCAGGCTACATCTGCATTAAGTCAAATGAAAAGCCCCATTATCTTGAGCTTGTTCAGCCTGGAGAAGAGAAGGCTCCTGAAGGGGAGACCTTAGAGCAGCTCCAGTGCCTGAAGGGGCTGCAGGAAACTTGGAGAGGGGCTTGGGACAAGGGATGTAGGGACAGGCCAAGGGGAATGGCTTTAACCTGCCAGAGGGGAGACTGAGATGAGCTCTTAGGCAGAAGCTCTTCCCTGGGAGGGTGCTGAGGCACTGGCACAGGCCAGCCTTTAGGAGCAGAGAGACCAATTTCTTCTGAGGTCCCTGAGATGGGACCTGAGCCACTTTCCTAGGGGCTCAACAAGCCCTGTCCCACGTCGTTTCTAACTGGGCACTGAAGGAGGGTAGGGAGCCTGGCAGAGACACTGCAGCAGGAAAAGGAAGTGCTAGTGAGTAGATGGATGGCAGAGAAGGCAAGAAGAAGCTTGCCCTGTAGACAGACTGGCAGAGGATGGATTACTCTAAGCTCTGAGCATTTAATCCCAGGGAGACATGAATGGGAAGGAGGTTAATGGGTGCAGTGATACAGCAAAAAGGGAAAGCCAGAGAAGGAAGAAGCCAGGATGAGGCTCAAGGAAGCGTGCTGGGTAAGTGTTGGAAGGAGGTGGCTGAGGAGGAGGTTGTCCTGCTCAGGGTGGGCTCTGTGGGTGTTTACACTGGGGAATATGAGGCATCACTTTATGTATTTCTCATTCTGCAATTCCAACCATTTGAAAGATTGCCAAAACAGAGCATCCCTCCTGCGAAGGAGCAGCCTGTTTGTCTTTTCCCCCACTCTAAAGCCAGAAGTCACTGCTGTCAGTGGGATGTGGCTTCTCTCTTTCCTGTGCACCCTGAGTCCACGTAGAGTCACTGCAGAGGAGCGGAACCGCACTGCAGGGAAGCTCCCGTGACCCCACAGGGAGTTAGGGAGGGACTTCTCAAGTTAGGTCAGTTGAACCTGCCCTCCACTCCCAGGCAATGCCATGCACAGCGGCTTCACTGCCTGAAGGCTGCCTGCAGAGAAGGGCAGAGCACCTCCAGGATCTGAGCAAGGGCAGAAGGTTTGTGATGAGACTTCTGCTGCATGAACTGAATTCAGTCTTGGTTTATTCCACCTTGTTTTTCCTTATCTCCTTTGCTCCTGTAGGCCTGACACGAGCTGCAGCCCCGTGTATGGACCTGCACCCATCACCCGCATCCCTGCATCTGCTCGGCCACTGTTTTGCACTGTTTTTACAGTGAGAGAATGTGAGAGAATGAAATCAAATGTCTCAGCTGCCCTGCCCCAGTGTTCCCCTGACACTGACTCTGGTTTGGGTTTTGCTGAGTTGGGGTTCTGACAATTTAGCAAGTCCCATTGGATTTGGCTTTGATCAAAAGAGATGCCCGACCAGACACAAGTGAATAGGGGTGAGTGCTTGGCAGGGAGAATAAGGTGCTGGCAAAGGGAAGAGAGATGGAGCGTTTGGTCTGCTCTCTTCTTTTGGTCTGCTCTCTTCTGAGAGGGGTAAACTGTTGCACTGATTTTGCTTTATCAGGTGCCTTTTCCCTAGGTGGAAATGAGCTGAGTTTGG